TATCACGCCGAGGGAAGCCTTCCGTCACGAATGGCTACGTCGCCGACAGCCAAAGTCAACAATCACTGGCGCGGTGGCTGCCCTGACTACTCAAACAACACCGTACTCCTGTGGAGAACAGAAGCAGATCTACTCGCTGCCCGCTGCCAACAGTACTTCCGTCTCCATCAGTCACGCCTCCTCGCAGCGTGTACCAAATAACACCGAGTCACTACAATTTGAGACAAGCAAGCCACACCAGACGTCCCCACTGCACTCTCAGCGGGTGGATCGGCAGCATAAACCACAGGCGCATGGCCAACCGCGTCATCTTATAAATAGCCAGTGCCTTAGTACTACCACCTGCGAGATGAACACGGTCAGTAACGGTTTCAACACGGAACATCGCTGCCAACAACCCACGGGCACGCCCACAAATAACCTGACGACCGTTAATACCACTACACAGGCTGTAGTTCGGCATGACAACTTCGACACCAGTCTTGGGGCCGGAGACAAAATGCGTTACGAGCTGTCCAGCAAACCGCAGAACATCTAGGGTAAAGACAAGTCCTTAACGCAGGACTAGGCTTCCAAGGTCACCTACAGGTGGAGACTGCTTGGTTTTCTTCTACCTTCGTCTCCTAAGCTGATTTTCCTCTATCTGCTGCTGCTACCACTGTACACCTTCTTTTATTACACCCCCAACACGCATTGCATTTATGAAGACATGTGCCAAATTTCTGTCGCTGACGGCTTCTTGCACAAGATGGAGGGGAGAGCTTTACACTGCCTCTCTGTCTTTCTGCTCAAATAGGGCTCTTTTAATTCACATGCCTCTGTTTGCCCAAGGTGCAGACTGTGATAGCCTATATATGTACTACTCCTCCAGTGCCCATTCGAATTGGGATCGCGACACGTCCACACACTCTCTCACTCAGGAATTGGCCTCTAACAACTCCCGCCTCCAAAGTCCTGCCCATTCATGCGGAAGAAATGCAGGCAGACTGTATGTAAAATATCTACACAGCAATGAGCATAATTTATGCATAATTCTTCGGTGGTAGAGACAACCAGTGCACAAAAACACCGCTGCTACTACTAACCGTAGCAAAAATACATTTTGTTTACAGAACACGAAAACTGCCATTTC